AATATCTGCATTCACAATGGATATCGTCTAGAATAATACATTCTTGTCATATCTACACGGCCTTATGGGCCGTGAATTATTTTCCACATTCTAACCCCTTTGCTACAAAGAAAACGTTGCTACCCTCTCGCAATTATACCACTGTTTTCATTGAAAGTGTTAAAGCGAGCTACATTCCTTAGTTTCACCTTTTCAAACTTTTACAATTAAGTCTCTCTCTTCTTTATCGCTATTTACATAGATGTAAGGCGAGCTACATTCCTTAGTTTCACCTTTTCAGACCTTTAAATTTAAGTCTCTCTCTTCTTTATCGCTATTTTCATAGAAAATTTTAAGGCGAGCTACATTCCTTAGTTCCACCAGTTCAGACCTTTACAATTATCTCTCTCTTCCTTATGACTATTTTCAGACATGTTAAGGCGAGGTACATTCCTTAGCTCCAACAGTTCAGACCTTTACAGTTAAGTCTCTCTCTTCTTTATCGCTGTTTTCAAAGAAAATGTTAAGGCGAGCTACATTCCTTAGTTACACCAGTTCAGACCTTTACAGTTGAGCCTCTCTCTTCTTTATCGCTATTTTCATCGATGTAAGGCGAGCTACATTCCTTAGTTCCACCAGTTCAGACGTTTACATTTAAGTCTCTCACTATTTCATGTACGCAAATGAGAATCATCTTCATCTTTTTCGTATTCCATCTATAAAAAAAATGTTTCATTAAGGACAGCTTCTTCTCAAGAACCGCTGCTTTGTGGAATAGACTCCCGAGATAATGTTTGCTCGATCACTACAGTCTTAACCTCTTTAAATCTAAGTACAACCGTTATCTATCCTACATATTCGCGTGATCTGCACGTCGTATCTCCTCTTCTTACACCCATAAAACAGCATCATTCAGTAACCCTCTACCTTGAGTGGCTCTTGGGCTTTGCATTGAATGCAGTAAAAACAAAATGATTTTATTGTTGAGTTGAGTTTTGCAAAATGTCCGTTGTTCTGAGGTATTCATTCCTGACTTTGCTTATGCCTCCCGTCATTTGCTTATTCCTCCCGTCATCCTAGAAAATTTAAAATCTCTTGTCTGTTTAGTGCCTTGATAGTTAGGTAGTTAAATTCTTTCTGCTGCTACACGTTTTCATACGTGCATCATCAATATTCTATATTGCTCTGTTTAAAACTCCATTCCGTTGCCCTTGCTGAAAACCCTGGCCATTTGTATTAAGGTATTTTTTAATATATACTTATTTTTTTAAACTTTTGGCAAATGTTTCTTAAATGAACTTGCCATTGGTATATTGATTAGAGGCTCGAAACGAGATATTGACAAGCAGAGTTTGAATTCCAGTCGGGATCGTTACATTCATTTTCGCACAATTACGCTTATGAAAGGTAGGAATCCATCTTTTCTCCCCAGCTATGGGTTAAATAGTAGGAACGATTGGGTTCTACAGTCGTAATTATCAACCAGTATAGAAGAAGGACAACTCGACATTCAAAATTGGATGTGGCCCTGACTAAGGTATGGCAACCGTCGGTCTCGAGAATCCATGGATCTGCACCCGAAGACTTATACCCTCTCCAGAACGCAAGCCTTTTTATTATTATTATTATTATTATTATTATTAATTATTTCACCCCAAGAAAGTCGGGAATGTCACTAGTACGCAGATGGTTACAGGGAGTAAAAGTGATAGAGAAGACTGAGAATAGGGAGGATTGAGGAAAGGACAAAAGATGAACGGGATTCAAGAAGACAGAAGATGGCGATTGATATTGCATCTAAATTTTTGAAGATTGTAGTTCACAGGGAAGCAAAGAAATGGAAGTGGGTTATACAAGGGAGAAGTGCAAGAAAAGAAGCTGTTCGACTTGAAGTGTCAGTTGCATTTAACTATTTCACCAGTAAAAATGTAGGACCTAGATGCCAATTAAATTCCTGTAGTTGGTGCACCAGGGAAAAAAAAACTCATCAGAGCATTTACTATGAAAATATTCGTGGAAAAAGGCAGAGAGAATTCACGTTAAGTGACTGAAATAGAGATGCCAGGAGAGGATCGATTGTATTATAGATTCTTCTTTGGGTTTTATCAAGAAGTTCAAGATGTACAGCAGGAGCAACAGACCAGATATAGCAACAGTATTCAATGCACGGACGAATGGTAGATTTACAAATGTGCAAGATGAATTCTGACGAGAAAAAAAAAAGAAGCCAAGAAGGCCAAGAAGACACAACGTGTTACTCTACTGGAGTTTGGCATCAGCCATGCAGATGACAGGCAGAAATGGGCCTCTATCGTGATTAAATAAAAGCAGTTTTGTTTTAGAGGCATTAAAATCTACAAGCCATTTCCTGCCCCAGTTTACAACTAATTGAAAATTCTTTTCAAGAACAGCGACCAGATTAACTTTGTCAGCCTCAATGGATTTGCTATTGAGACAAGAGTAAATGTCATCTGCATAAATACCTTGTTGGAAACTGATGGAATCGAGAAGATTATTGATGAAAATTAGAAACGACGTAGGACCCAGGATAAATGCTTGTGATAGTGTGACACTGAGGCCATGAAGTAGTTAAACGTTGATTCTGAGCAGAAAAGGTTTAAGCCCAAAATGGAATATATGCTGGAAGATAGAGAGAGAAAGAGAGAGTGGAGACATTTTCCTTGGTGAAAATGGAACCATCTGGATTCCTTCTCTCCTAAAGTTTATTTTTCTTATCTATCGAGAGTTTGGCATGCGTACGAAAACAGATTTGGAGAAATAGTTTTATCTCTTCTTTGAGAGTTTAGGCAAACGAATATATTTTCGTTGACGAAAACGATTTAAGAAATGAAAACAAGGAGCAAACCCGTTTTGAGGGTCGAAGCTATGAAAACAAATCTTGTAATTGCCGAGAGAGTGTTCTGATTTGTATTTTCCTTGGACATGGATAGGCCCAGAAACGGAGAGATAATTTCATCTCTGTCTTGAAGAGGCAGAAGAATTAAAATTAATGATTAGAATAAACTACGCCCTTTCGCCCAGGAGATTTGAAAATTAGATTTGTCACAAAGACAGTTGGGTCGGCCTGGGAGATGGGCTGAGGTAGACTGTCTAGAAGGAAGGAAGAAGTCGGAAGAGGGGGGATTTAGCACCGATTGTGTGAAGTGGTGGTGCGAGATGTGAAGTGAAGCAGTTTAGAGTTATAGGAGGAGCAACCCTCGTAACCTCTCCCGTGAAGGTGGATTTTTTTTTCAAATTTTGAAAGTTGATTAAGAAAGCAGAAATAGGGAACAAAGAACCCTTATTAGAATTAGTGTGAAAATTAAATAATCAACGAATACCAAGAACTCTTCGGTCCCACGCCAGTTTTGAACCGAAGTGCATATAAGATGGTGGTTTTGGGAGCTCGAGGATTTGCGCTGAGAATCCTAATATTGAGTACCTCTGGAATCCACGTCAGCTTCCACCAGATTTCAAGAACATTGAACACAAACTATTAGAGGCCCAGTTTCTATAAAGATTACCCAGAGCTATATACACTGCGTGCCAAATTATTATCGAGATAACTTTTTTTCTAATATTTCAAAAACTGTCCAATCAATTCACACAAAATTTTCACACAATGTTAGCAACACTGACTTGCGCAATCACTGAAATTTTCGTACTGATCTGCGTAATGTAAACAAACTGGCGCCATATTTGTTATCAGAAAGGTGATATGTTTGCTGGCTGATGTTGTTCATTCTGCGGGTTACGAATATGAATAGACGACATCTGTTATCTAACATACCTTATCTTTGTGATATCTCGGGTTGGCCTGGAAGAGACGATCCATTTGAATTTCAAGATTGTATATAATTGTACACTTTCTATTCATTACAATGACTTGTAATTGATGCATATGCAAAACTATGTCCTATTTTTCACAGTTCAGTAGGACAGTTATTTCTATATGGAAGACTATAGATTCTATCAGGTATAAGATATCTTACACAAATACGCCAAGACTTTTATTCACTCTAGTGATCAGATAGATAGATAGATAGATAGATAGATAGATATAAACAAACTGTGCATAAATAGATTGATAGATAGATATGAACAGACTATGCATATATATATATATATATATATATATATATATATATATATATATATATATATATATAGATAGATAGTTATGAACAAACTGTGCATAGATAGATAGATAGATAGATAGATAGATAGATATGAAAAGCGAATCTCACCATGTTAGTTTTGTCAGGATCAGAAAGGCGTCTTCTTGATGTTATCGGAATGGCTCGAGGTCGATCACCGCGCGGCACCTTTGGAAAGTGTCTGAAAACCATACCAGGGGTTGACCCAAGCATTGTGAGTGAAATTGTGTAGATGGAACTCTTGGGAGAGGGGCGTCGATAGCTGTGCTAGCACGAAGCCACAAGTCATCGTGGCTTTGGGCTTGAGCGAGCTGGCCTTATTCAAATTGTTGATCACACTAAATAACACGCTCTTTCCCAGAAGCTTTAACTAAGGTTTGCTCAGCATAGTTAATAGTATAAACCACATGTGTGCTCTGTGGGTGTTGATCAAACACAAATGTGCCTGAGCGAGCATCTGCAATAGGGATTGGCTAGCCGCCCTAGTAGACAGGTATCCTCTAATACGAGTGGCCCGATAATATATATATATATATATACATACATACATACATATATATATATATATATATATAAAGAGAGAGAGAGATATGAAGAGACTGCATAGATAGATAGATAGATAGATAGATAGATAGGTGTGTGCCATATTTGAAGAAAATTGCTCAATATCGTAGAAAGATAAATATAAACAGTGTGGAGATAGGAAGATTGCATAATGTCTCACTTTCACGCCTCTAGTGATCTTTAGGCAATGTGCCCCTTCAACTTTCGAAGTCTGTCTATATACCCCACTGGATGATTAAAGGAAAAGAGGAAAGGTGGAAACCGACTATTTCCAGCTCTTCTCTTAAAGTTTCAAGAGTAATGTTTTCCGGCAGTCTGTTCCACAACTTCGTTTCGGAAGTCCTTTCCACAACTTCCTTTCGGCAGCCTATTCCACAACTTCGTTTCGGAAGTCCTTTCCACAACTTCCTTTCGGCAGTCTGTTCCACAACTTCGTTTCGGAAGTCCTTTCCACAACTTTCTTTCGGCAGTCTGTTCCACAACTTCGTTTCGGAAGTCCTTTCCACAACTTCCTTTCGGCAGTCTGTTCCACAACTTCGTTTCGGAAGTCCTTTCCACAACTTCCTTTCGGCAGTCTGTTCCACAACTTCGTTTCGGAAGTCCTTCCACAACTTCCTTTCGGCAGCCCTATTCCACAACTTCGTTTCGGAAGTCCTTTCCACAACTTCCTTTCGGCAGCCTATTCCACAACTTCGTTTTTGAAGTCCTTTCACAACTTCCTTTCGGCAGTCTGTTCCACAACTTCGTTTCGGAAGTCCTTTCCACAACTTCCTTTCGGCAGTCTGTTCCACAACTTCGTTTCTGATGTCCTTTTCACAACTTCCTTTCGGCAGTCTGTTCCACAACTTCCTTTCGGAAGTCCTTTCCACAACTTCCTTTCGGCAGTCTGTTCCACAACTTCGTTTCGGAAGTCCTTTCCACAACTTCCTTTCGGCAGCCTATTCCACAACTTCGTTTCGGAAGTCCTTTCCACAACTTCCTTTCGGCAGCCTATTCCACAACTTCGTTTCGGAAGTCCTTTCCACAACTTCCTTTCGGCAGCCTATTCCACAACTTCGTTTCGGAAGTCCTTTCCACAACTTCCTTTCGGCAGTCTGTTTCCACAACTTCGTTTGGAAGTCCTTTCCACAACTTCCTTTCGGCAGTCTGTTCCACAACTTCGTTTCGGAAGTCCTTTCCACAACTTCCTTTCGGCAGCCTATTCCACAACTTCGTTTTGGAAGTCCTTTCCACAACTTCCTTTCGGCAGCCTATTCCTTCGTTTATAGGAAGTCCTTTCCACAACTTCCTTCGGCAGCCTATTCCACAACTTCGTTTCGAAGTCCTTTCCACAACTTCCTTTCGGCAGTCTGTTCCACAACTTCGTTTCGGAAGTCCTTTCCACAACTTCCTTTCGGCAGTCTGTTCCACAACTTCGTTTCTGATGTCCTTTCCACAACTTCCTTTCGGCAGTCTGTTCCACAACTTCCTTTCGGAAGTCCTTCCACAACTTCCTTTCGGCAGTCTGTTCCATAACTTCGTTTCGGAAGTCCTTTCCACAACTTCCTTTCGGCAGCCTATTCCACAACTTCGTTTTGAAGTCCTTTCCACAACTTCCTTTCGGCAGCCTATTCCACAACTTCGTTTCGGAAGTCCTTTTCCTTTCACAACTTCGTTTCGGCAGCCTTCCTTTCGGCAGTCTGTTCACAACTTCGTTTCGGAAGTCCTTTCCACGTTTCGGCAGCCTATTCCACAACTTCCGCATTGGAAGTCCTTTCCACAACTTTCGGCAGCCTATTCAACTTCGCTGGAAGTCCTTTCCACAACTTCCTTTCGGCAGCCAACTTTCGTTTCGGAAGTTCTTTCCACAACTTCCTTTCGGCAGCCTATTCCACAACTTCGTTTCGGAAGTCCTTTCCACAACTTCCTTTCGGCAGCCTATTCCACAACTTCGTTTCGGAAGTCTGTTCCAAAAATTCCTTTCGAAAGTCTGTTCCACAAATTCCTTTCGACATCTGTTTAGAATAATTCTTTTTCCTGATAGGGAAAAATGAGTAACTTGATTGTTGTCACATGGGTACCTGGAGAACTGTCGCCGGGACAATTGACCCCATTAACGGAAAATTAAGAGAAGGCGCAACTTTTGGGTGGGGGTGGGAGAAATGAATACTAATAAAACTAATTAGGGCAAGGATGGCCAACCTGTGGCGCATGCGCCATAAGTGGCGCATTGGATGCTTACAAGTGGCGCATTGCATCCTTTTTGATGAAAAGAAACTAAGCCACTTCTACTCATTCATTTCAGTGATTTTATATTTATTGCACGTCCTTTGCGAAAGTGCTAAAAGGATACGCCCCTGATCATAAACATATATTTTTCAAATAAATAGATTTTATTATAACTTTAAAATATGTCCATATTACAACACGTACTGAAAGGAAGTGAATGTTTGTGTGGTGCATTTAAATTAATCGTACAAAATATTGGTGCACGGAATCAAAAGGTTGGCCACCCCTGAATTAGGGTTGTAGTTTCCTGTCGTATCTGTTATCCAATATGAAGAATTATATAATAATAAGATTTATGTTTTTATATCACTATAATTATGATACTAAACTTGCAAATTATAGGCTATACATCTTAAAAAGTCCAACACATTGCGGTTCTCAAAGTCTTGCACGATGGTTGCTATTCTGACTGTCGAAACGTTTCTGCTTAGGCTATAGCATGGCTCGATCCGGGGCCCTTCCCACGCTGTTCAGTACTGGCGCCGGTCAACTGATGGTTATAACTGCTTCGTTCCTTCATCTGCCCACGTTGTTTTCTTTGATCACAGTGCAGCGACGATCGAATTTTCGTTTGTATTTAAGCACTGGATCGAGATGTGGCGGAACCGTGCTTCCAAAAATACAAAGAACGCTTACACTAATGAAAATACAATTATCATAAAAAAAAAGTCACGTAAAAGATCGCTGGGTTAATTTTCAATTGGTTTATATCAGTGGATCTCAACCTTTTTTTACCTATGGACCCCTTTCCCCTTCTTTTTATCTTGGTGGACCCCTTCATAGCTATTGGACATAAGAACAATTTTCTATTCTTCACTAATATAAATTTTAAGGTTTTAATTATCAAAGAAATAGTATACGATTAAGCTTTATTTTTAAATGAAAACTAATTTAATACAAATAAAATATTCTACTATAATTATAATAATAATTATTATTACTATTTTTAATTAACACAACAATTGAGTTTTGCCTGTGGACCACCGGAAATATTACATGGACCCCTAGGGTCCATGTAGACCCCGGTTGAGAACCACTGGTTTATATAGTCGTTGATACAAAAAAAATTAACCCTTCCCGTTAAACTCTCTGCAGTGACACTGTAACTCTTGCTTCTAAAACTTGGAACGGGTTAAACATTCACACGAGATGGCCGTCGCTAATTCTTGGAAGCAGGTCACGTGGGGTTCAACAGCTCACTCGTCCGATGTTGACTCGTCTCAGCTTTCGCTCCAACGGCTGGCTTCAACTAAGCGTTCGGTTTATATGTATTTCACCCAACTCCTACCACCCCTCAAAACCCATTAATTATTCATCTATTAATTATTTATCCAACCCTGGAGACATGACATCGACTCTCAAATAAAGCAGTCAGCTATTTCAAAACAACTCCACATTCCCTTTTTCCCAATTGGTCATGTCATAAGTGAATTATTCCCGTTAACAATTTTTTGTTTTTAAAAATTTATTTCAGATTGGCAAAGAATTCTCTTTATTGAATTCCAATGAATTCGCTTTGTCAGTTTCCCAATACGGCCCACATTATTTCCTGTTCAGTTGCATATTTACAAAATCCGGCTTTGTGAATTCTTTCGGCTTTATCTAAATTCGCTCCCCGACCATCAATGACCTTCAAGTACCAAAACAGTCAAATATTCAAAACAATGCTCTTTGAAATTTATTTCAAAGGCAAATAATTTTTCTTACTCCTCATTCCTCACTCCTCAGGACTGATATATATTTTCCGGCCTTCAGATTCATAACAATTCTATCCATCCATCAGTTTATCAGGAAAAAATACATTTTTTTTTCCTTCGGTTAATATTTCAATTCATCTTTTCACCATAACGATTTTAGCGTTTTCATACTTCCAATTCTCCAGTTCTATACGGGATGAACCCTTTTAATCCTAATTTCATACTACCAGTATCACAACAGTGTCACAAGGCGGTGCTAGTTGTTAGTACCTGTTCCCTCTTCAACACTTCAAGAAACTATCCCGGGGGCAATTGCCAGTGGACAATTGTCCAGAGGACATTTGTCCTATAACTGCTCTCATATTCTGTCCACGATATTCTTAACTTTCGCCGGGAGAACCACATATCTGTAACTTTTCTTAACAGTTTCTTATTCTTCACCGAAGAAATTGTCCAGCATTTACTGCCATACAGAAGATTAGATATTACATAGGACTTCACCACACTATGCACATTTATGTTTTATTGATTACACAAAATCATTTGATAAGGTATGACACAAAGACTTATTTGAACTACGAGTAAAACTATATTTATTTGAGAAGAATATTAGAATAATGCTTGTTTGTTTCTTTAACGGCATATGAACGCCTGATGGGTCATTTAATTAATACAGGCATCAACAGCTAAAAATATTCATTTTTGGTAAATTAATTAAAGGACAATGAATATTAAGGTGTTTTTTTCCCTTTATTTCGAATTATTTTGGAATTTATTTATCTTCAATAATGGATTATTTTTTCACTTTTCGGGGAGAATTTGAATATAAATTATCTGTTTTTTTTTCGCGAGACTTTTGGCTTTCATAAGGTTTTACCAAAGAATATTCTGTGATTGTTAAGTCATATAGTGATTTTCCAAGCGTAGCTCAGATGTGGCACATGGCCGAATGTAAGGGGCACCCAGTGAAGATCGAACACACTACTCAGTTGTAATTGTTCTAGCGAAACAAGCTTGCTAACCATTACACCACCCCTAGGTGCTCTTGTTATATATATATAAAATGGGTTTCTTTGATGATGTTCCCGTGTCACAAATTCATGCGTCTTGTTAATTTTTAAGCATTGCATCAAGTATTGAGTCCTTGACACACACGCACATACATACATACATACATTTTAAGACATTTTATGTTTATACATTTTATGTTTATACATTCTGTTTATACATTTATGTTTATACATTCTTTTTATAGATACAAATCAATGCTCTGTTTATAATAAACAGTATTAAACAACATTTACCGGCCTGAATGTCTGAGAAATTTTCACAGAAAATATTCGTCCACCGACAAGATTCAAACCTGTGTACTATACGGAAGCGTCATTTAGCTTGAAGTGTCATTTAACCAATTAGAGGAGCGTTCGGTTAGCAAGGTCGAATTTACTGCTTTTAAGCTTCAATCATCCATGAACCTCTCACGTAGATTCATATCTGCTCATGGCGTATCAAATATAAACATATAACGTCTCACACACACACACACACACACACACACACACACACACACACACACACACACACATATATATATATATATATATATATATATATATATATATATATATATATATAGAGAGAGAGAGAGAGAGAGAGTAGAGGAGGTGGTGCCACGGTGGAGTAATGAATAGCAGCTCGGATTGAGGAATCGGAGGCCAAGTTCGAATTATATCGAATCCATTACATTGATTTACGTGCTAACACCCTTGACAAAGGTATAAATCTTCTTCTTCTCCCCAGCTAAATAGTAGAACAGACCGGGTCCTATAGCCTTGGGTGGCAACTAGTCTAGGAGAAGGACAACTCTGAATTCAAAATCCTCCAGATTGGGGTTGTGCAGTAGGCTAACAACCTACTCACATAAAAAACAGGCTTGTTACAGAAACCGCAACGATATCTGGCGGCACTATGTTCTCCAAGGAATTTAAAGTATAATATATATATATATATATATATATATATATATATATATATATATATATATATGGAAGAATAATTTTCTCAAATTCATTCATTTCTTTTCTGCATCTAACACAGTGCTTCTCAACCTTTTTCAATCCATGGACCATTTTTTTCTTAAAAAAATTCAATGTACCACTCATACTTTTAGGCTGTTCAATTTTCACATTAAAATATTCAATGAAAACACAAAGTAGTCTATTTAAACTTTACAATTTATTTTAATAAACAAGGCTAAACACAGGATATCAAAACCAATTTTGATGATGTCATTCAGTCTTGGTCCATTCAGCTAGTGAGTATCTTGATCTTGGTGTTTCTGACACAAGATATCATAATCAATTTTGATGGCGTCATTCAGTCTTAGTCTGATAGTTCCTCTGCTGTTGAGATCTTAATTTATTTCTTTTTCTACTGAAAACATCCACAACAGCCAAAAATCCAGATTCCACCATTCATGCGGTAGGGAAAGAAATGACGCTTGCTTCTACATGTTGAAAAATATTTGGGTCTGAGTCCTTTATCGATATGAAAGCAAAGACACCTTTGTCAACTCTTCTTCTCAGTTTCGCATTTTCTTTCAAGTCCAGCAACATTGCATAATACCTACTTAATTTCGAAATTTTCAAATATAATGGACATGTGTGTTATTAAACAATCTATTATATTTTTTTAAATTCTTCAAAGTATGAATAACTTAGATACATTTTTGTGAAAGGGTTAAATAGTTTTATGGCTAGGAATTCTCTGTGGACCACTAGAAATGCTATATGGACCACTGGTGGTCCACCTGGACCACGTTGAGAATCACTGGTCTAGCATAACATAAAAGCAGTGAACCATTTTTTCTCATGAACTAATGCATATTTATTTTTAAACCGATATTATTTCTTATAAGTGAACGAAAGAGTACAGAACTGTTGCGTAATTGCAGTTCTCCAGTATGGCAGTGAATACTGGGTAAACGCTTCACGAATACACACGAGACGAAACAACAGACGTGATTCTACAGAAGGAT